ACCTCACACATCGGCCTGGTCGGTCACTTGCGAATCCATCGCACAGAGACTGGCGAACCAGTGCGCGAAGCACCAACCTACACCCACCGCACTCGCCTCCACTGCTCTCGCACTTTCAGGCATCGCATGGGCCTTTTCGGCCACATGCGCATCCACGAGAGCGGCCTTGACCGCACTCCCGACACACCCACCACATCCACCGTGCACACCCCCACCTTCGTTCCATCCGTCCGCGCCACCACCACCACCGCCTCCTCTGTAGCTGACACTGACACCGCTGACTTCTCATGTCCACACTGTCTACGCACATTCGCCTCACGCATCGGCCTGGTCGGTCACTTGCGAATCCATCGCACAGAGACTGGCGACCCAGTGCCTGGAGCACCCACCTATACCCACCAAGCTCGTCTCAACTGCCCACACTGACCTCGCACTTTCAGGCATCGCATGGGCCTATTCGGCCACATGCGCATCCACGACGACCTGCAGTAGACAACCGCCGGTTACACCACACATCCACGCACTCCCTACTTCCTCCACCACCACCATCACCCCACCAGAAATCAACACTCACACACCTCATGCACCCAACTGCCACCTCCCACGCAAGTGGGAAGTCCGCATCTCGACCCGGTCCCCATGCGGCTTCGGCTGCACGGGTGACTTGAGTCCGAGACTATCCCGACACGTCAAGCGTCGTGGATAGGAAGGTTGCTGATTGATGCCCGCTCTCGGTTTACGCAGTTCGTCGAGATGTGTGTGTGTTGTGTGGAGTGGCGGACTGGTGGGCCGGGAACGGGCTGAAACGGCACCTTCCACGGCGCTCTCACGCAAGTGGGAGACACGCCGTTCAACCCCCGTTGTGTGAAATCCTGGTGTTGTGTGCATGGGGGGCCCGGTCGTGCTGTGGCGCGCGCAGTCATGGTCATTCGACCATGACAGCCACCGCGCCCATTCCCCACTCCAGTCTGCTGACCGGCTCGGACAGCGGCTGGGGTGTGGGAGTGGGAAGGGAGAGTGAGGTCGACGACTCAGCGCACTCTTTCCTCACTATAAACAATCTGACGCGCTTGAAGCTATCACGGTGCGCTAAAAGCCGTGGCTTGGAAGGTTGGCAACTGACGGGGTATCTTGGACCTCCTTATTGACCGGAGGCGGTCTGAGAGTCAGGCTGCAATGGCTCCTTTTTAATGTGGCCTTTATGGCACTCCCATCACAGTGTGGGATCCGAGCCAGGCGTTGGCGGCACGCCCAGGTGCGGCTTCGGCCGTGCCAGCCTCCAAATCTCTGTTGTGTTGGTTGAAATCCTGGTTATTTGTTGTGTGGACCAGGGGGTGTGGTGGAACGCCAAGGTGAGGATCCGTCCGAGCCATCCACCTGCGGCCTCTCTCGTCTCCGGTCTTCTTGACTCTGTCTTGACACCGGGCTTGGGCGAGGGAGGAGGAGAGAGTGTAGGTAGATGCTACGCAAGTCTACTGGCACTATAAACCCCTGCGTAAGTCACCGTCCCTGCTCCCATTGCTGCTGTAACTGTGGGGCACACGGTGGACATCATCGAAAACGATGGTCGAACTGTCATTCATTCCAAGTTTATCACTGGTTAGGGAGAGGGATGACGCGGCTCTGGGATGCACTGCACGAACGGCAAAAAACAACACCAACGAGCCAAGTGTGAATTTGAAGGTTTTGCCGGGGGCATCGCACACCAGCAGTACTTCCTGATGACTATGGACTTAAAAACCCCGAAGAGGAATATCAGCACAGATGGTAATCGTGTCTGAGAGATTACCCCCAGATGTGTCGCACTGATTGTGAACAGAGTACCAACATACAAACCAAAACACAGTCTCGCCGACAAAACTAACAGCCACTGCGGTTTCCGTCAGCTGCAGCATAAAGAACACTGGTATGCAGGCCTCCGACAACCAGATTAATTTCTTCCTCATTAGGACGCTCGCCGGCGGACCTCTAACAGGGCACCCATCCTTAGGGGGCTATTACCTTCAGGCTGCGCTAAATTTTCTACCCGAATGATGACAACCACAACCTTGATGTGTAAAGTTGACTTCTGCAGCACCAACCTAACTCTTTGATCACAATGGTTCCACGGCAATACTAAACTAAGAAGACCACAGCTGAGTTTTGGCGCTAGGCAACCTGGGATTCGCAACCCCTGGCGTAGCACAGAAGCGCTGGACACCTTATCGACATGACCCAGACTTCGCTCAAACAGAGGTCGCACGGCCAAAAGTTGCCAAACGTCATAGAAAGAAGTCGTTGAAGAACGGCTCCCAGTCCAAAGAATCAAATGGGACCGCCAAGTGGAAACTTTCCAAGTCAGGTCTTTTCACGAGCAGAGGACAAGAAATTGCCAAACAGAAAGCATGCTGCGTGACACAGCTGAACTTGAGATCAAACCTTTACAAATAACTGTAATACTAGCAATAATGGTGCATCAAGGGATAACGATGGCATTAAGAACGTGAAAGCACTGGATGAGCGAAGAAAAAGAGAAGGGGAGCCATAGGATTGCAAGGTCGATTTTGTTAAGTTGCAGTTGGTACGGCAGCGGCAGTAGCAGAAGGGATGGTCGTCGCTGACCGTCTGCCATCCACCGGTGAGGGTAGAGTAGGCGAAGCATTCACATTAGGATGGCTGGATTTGCCGTAAGCAGCTGTCGATGACTTGGTCTCGGATATTTGTCGTTGCTGATGCTGCTCGGGAGGAACAGGGGGTTGCGGTGGCATACCACAGGGCAGGTGCATGTCAGAACAGCAGGGCAACAGGGCGCCGCGCGTGTGCCGCGTCGAGCAGGGTAGGGGTCCCCGAATATTGGAGGTGGGGGTTTCTGTGCTTAACTTTGATGTGGGTTCTACAAAACATAAATTCTTCCCTTGAGACGTACTTCACCTACGGGGGTTTAGGCAGTAGGCAGCCTAACTCAGCAAACGTTGGCTGAAATTCTAAAGCCCGAGATAGGCAAGGATTATTTAATTGAGGCTGAAATACCGATTGGCATGCAGCGTAATCCCAAGACATTTCGTATACGCCGAGGAAGCGATAGTAAACCTTGATCATGGCGACGATTTTTGGCGGTAACCATCTAGTGCGATTATCTGCTATAGGGGCCCACGATGGACGGAATGGAACACGGCGGCAAAGTCAACAAAACAGACGAGCGTCGGTTGCTGGTAGCTATGACGGAATTCGGGAATGCACCTTAGTGTGAAAACTTGGTCCGCACACCCACGTCCTGCCCGAAATCCAGCTTGGTTGGGCCTCGTCCTACAGTCACGCACGGCCTGGAATCGCCTGAGTTGAACAATAGCGAAGGTCTTCGCAGCAACGTCGATGAGGCCTATGTCGCGGTAGTTGCGCTTGGTCGGGTCGGGGTACTGCCTGATGGCTATACCACACCATCACATATTCCCCCCACCAGCACCTGCACCTCACGTCAACATCACCCATCATCAAACCACACAAGGACGCAATTGACACCTCTCACGCGAGTGGCAAGTGTGCGTCTCGGCTCTGTCTCCATGCGGCCCATCTGCTGCATGTGAAACTCCAGTCTGAGACTATCACGGTGCGTCGAGCGCCGTCGCTTGAAGGGCTGCTGACTGACGCCCCAACTCAGTCCACGCAGTCTTGCCCAGTTGTGTATGTTTGTGTGGGGTGGCGGATTGGTGGGCTGAGAGTCAGGCTGCAACGGCTCCTTGACGTGATGTGACATCTGGCACTCTCGCGCACGTGAGATGTATGTCGCCCACCCCCGGTGTATAACATCCCGGTGCCTGTGTTTGGGGGACCAGGTCATACGCGTGGCTCGCGTAGAGATCACTAGGTGTGTCAGCCACTGCGCCCATTTCCGACACCAGTTAACTGACCGGCTAGGACAGTGACTGGAGCCTGAAAATGGGAAGGGAGAGTGACGTCTACGATTCAGCGCATTTTAGTCACTATAAGCAATCTGACGCACTTGAAGCTATCAGGGTGCGCTAAAAGCTTGGAAGGCAGGAAACTTGGACCTCGCAGTCGGCCCGGTGTTGCCAGTTTGTGTGGAGCGGCCGACCAGTGGACTGAGGGTCAGGCTGCAATGGCTCCTTCTAAACGTGGTCACTATGGCACTCCCGCCTTGTGGGATCTGAGTCGGATGTGGCGGCTCCGGCCGCGCCAGTCACCTGCGTCCTCTCATATCGGTCTTCTTGACTAAATCTTGACACCGAATCAAGGTAGGGGAGGGGAGAGTGCGGTAGATGCTACGCAAGTCCACATGCACTATAAACTAATTCACGCGCAAGTCACCATGCCTGTTCTCACCTTGCTGTGGAGCACACGATGGGCATTGTCGGCAACGACGGTCGAACTGTTAGTGATAGGATTAGGGTTAAAGTTAGGACACGCTAATAGGAACAATTAGAATTTGGCGCGAGGCCACCTGAAATATTAAGGGAGTGCATATTCCCGTGTATGGCAGACAGATCATCTACAGTACGTGAAAATTAATGGGTGATTCTCAAGAATTAGATGTGAAAATGATCGAACCGGAATTTTGGAGTCAGTATGCAAACGAAACTCTTATCATCATGAAACGGGAAATTATCCCGAAGTTTTATGAAACGCTCAATCGCATCCGGTATACGATTGGAGCGGAGGACAACCAGCTGCCGTGTCTGGACGCTATTGCACGCCGTCGAGACAAAGAAGCTTTGAAAATTTGCTATATAGGAAGGCACCTAACAAACACCAAACATCGCAGTTAGTGGTACAATAATCTGTTGTACCTCAAATGAAACCGTTTGCGAACCCTCCACGAGAGGATGGAGATACCCTGTAGCGAGGAGGGAGGCAATACATGACCAGATTCAAGTATCCACGGCGCCTCATCGCGGCCAAATGATACCGATACAACTTTGCCAAACAGGACAGAGTCCAGGATGGCGGAAAGTCCAACAACGGGAAAACAGACCCTGGCGGCCGGCACCACATACTAGAGAAGTGTATGGAGCTGTCCCTCGTTCTTTGCGATCGCTGGTAATAGTCGACGGTTACTGGGACTCGCACTGAAGAGGTCCCACACATCTACGTTGGACACTGACTAACGGATGTGAGGACTTACAGCCCGCCTAAGACACGACTTCCGACTTTCCACACACTAATGATCAGTACAAGAGACCGAATAATGCGTTCTCGTTCAATTCATGGGGATGGCTGAGCAGGTTGAAATTGTCAGGAACTGGGGCGGGAACTCGTAAGCGATTGCAGGCTTACCGTCGATGCGCTTCATTTCGGCCGAAGGAGTCTGTGGGACACTGGTAGGGGGGACAGCAGTCGCTTCGCCGCCGGAAGCGCGACCTGAGCCGGCCGATGGAGGGATGGCGGAAGTTTTGGATGGGACAGAGGAGGCCGCCGTATCGGGCTCACCG